ACTGAATTCTAAATTTTTAAACGAATTTTTAAGACGTAAAAGACATAATAAAACAATACAGCGAGAATTTTTTTTTTTTAAAAAAAAAGTCGCTATAAAGGTAGTCGCTAGCTCTTTTCCTACCGGGTTTTTAGCATAAAGATAATTTGATTGAAAATTATGAATTTTAATCATCGTATTTTTATATCACCGTACCTCAGGTTGAAATTTTCTGAAACAAAAAATTGACACTAATTATACTCTTATTTAAATTAAAAATTTCTAATTTAAAAATTTATTTATTTAAAAAGTTATTTTAAATAAATTTTTTTAAAGTTTACATTTTTTAAATTAGTAAACCCAAAACAGCATTGACCCGTACAATGATCGATCCCATAAAATAATTAAAAAAAGTTTAAAGTTAAATAATATAACATTACCAGTAGTCATTTTGCAAGTTACAAATTAAAATTTTTTTCTTATTGAAAAATTTTAAAGTTTTTGGTTCGGGGGGACCTCGGACCAAGTAGCTACGGCACTGCTTGTAGGGAATGTTTATCAACATAAAAGAACAATTATAAAGTGTTCTTGTTTTGAAACACGCCAAAAGTTGTTAGTTAAAGACTATGTAGATACCATTGTACTTTGAGCCAATATCCTTGAGCCATCGTATTGTAACTTATTAATAATGAGAAACAACTAATCCAAATATTAAAAAAAGGTATTCAAGATGACTTTTTTAACTTTTCAAATTTAAAACTAAAGCTAAAACTAAAACAAATTTACAACGGCCACAGCCTTGTTCGTCTAAAAAAATGCTCGATAAAACTTATGTAAAAAATTGTTTAATTAGTCCATTAATTAATAATTATGACATAATTGAACTACTCATTAATAATTAAATTACTAAAATAAAACTAAAAACTATTTTACCTTTATCAAGACATTTTATAAAAAAAACAGAAAACCTTTTCAAAGCAAATTCAAAACTAAAGCTAAAATTAGTTGCAATATCTAAAGCTAAAGTTACATTATCTACAATCTTAATGAAAAACTTTTTCAAAACAACAAAGAATTAAAAAGATTATATAGGATCTTAATGAAAAACTTTTTCAAAACAACAAAGAATTAAAAAGATTATCAAAAGATTAAAAAATTATTAGATTATATAGTTGTATAATTATAAAGAGTTCCACTCTCTAACCCAGTGGCCACGCGATGTCCGGGGGACGTTGATCGGGCGTATTACGGACATCTGTAAGACAGCCGATGGACGTCCCCTGGACGACGCATGCCCACAGTTGACTATTGTCTAATTATTAGTAAGTAAATTTTAAATCATGAATGTAGAAAACTAAATCATATTTCAACAGCACGCTAATTGAAATAACAAAACTAAAAGAAATAAAAAAATAAAAAATTAAAAAGAAAACAATATTGTTAATTTAGAAAACAATTTTTAAACAATCTTTTGGCATAAAGTTGACCGTTGAGAAACAAGTTTTTATGAGATAAACATTAATTATTTAAAAGCCTGACCTTACAATTGTATTATCTTATTATAATTTATTATAATTCATATGTTCAACGACAACCACAGCCAAGTCCCTATAGGATTTGTCCCTATGGGATTTACAATACCCAGTAAACATTTTTGTTGTAGATTTGCAGTGGACCTATATAAGTATTTTGAGCGACCCATTGGAGTTTTGCTTATCGGTTACTTAGTGGACCATTAGTGGTAGCGGCTATAATTGGTCGGCCAATAATAATTTCTAGCATGTAATATATTGACTATATATGTTATCAGCATGCCACTTTTGGCGGCTGCCAAAACTTCAAGGAATAAATTACTTTAAAAAAGCACAAATATCTTACTAGGTATTATTATAATACTTATATTTAAGCTAAAACTATGAGGCCATCAATTTCTCAACATCAGAGGGCCTCAAGTTTGGAATATAACAATCAATAATTACATTAAAATGATTGCAATTACAAATAATTTTAAATTAAAACAACAAAAAAAAAACATTTTTTAATAATGAAAACATTAAGAACTTTTTCTCGACCTATATATTTCTATAAAAAAAAAGGAATATATATCATTTGATACTTTGATGACCGCTAAATAAATATTTGTTTAACGGTCATCAAAGTATTATTTCTGTTTACATGCAATTTTGATCTGATTACATATAAAATAAATTTCTTAAATTTTTTAAAATCCTTTATGTTATATTTATTAACACTATATTTTTAATCGTAATAATTGAAAATTATTCTACATATACTTTTAATTTTTATTTTATTACGTTTTATGGCATTTTGGTTTTTTTTTTTTTTTTGTCTCTTGTTTTTAAAAAAACTTTGGACTTTATTATTACTATTATTATTAATATTATTGCTATTATTATTATTATTATTATTATTATTATTATTTTCTCTATGATTTATTTCATATTTAATGATATAGATGATATTTATTTCTGTATTTACATATGTGAACAAATATTATTTACAAATTATTTGGTGCTTGGCTACAAGACAATCATATATCTCCTTCTTGTTCCCGCTATTAATATATTTTACAGATATGAAAACTGTGAACACAATGGTAAAAATTAACAAAACTTAAAAAATAATAAACTTTTCAATATAGTTTTTTTAGTTTAATCCGTTCTGAAGCATCTAGTCGGTTAAAGATAAGATTACAAAACATTAGGAAAAGCACAGGTTTAAAACAGTATCTCTGGCTCCACCAACAGTATATAGTGGACTTGGGACGCTGACGTAATCAACATAAAAAAGCGTGACTAATTAAACGTAAAGCTGTCGACAGAGAGATATTTTTTTTCTTCAAAAAAGTAGTTTTTACTGAAAAATTAATAAGCATAATCTAATGGAAACTAATGCTTAACTTCGATAAGAATCAAATAAATTTTCATTTTATTTAGTATTATGAGTTTAAACAAAGCATTAATTTCCATTAAATTTATTAGTGTAAGTTTATTAGTGTAATTACGAAGAAAAATATCTTTAACTACAAGGAAAATAATCATTAAAGTTAGATTTAAAATAAAATTATTCCAAGTTTGTCCAAAAACTTCGCAGAAGCATTTAAAGCAGAATGCTTGTCTTGATCTTGAAAAAAAAGTTCAATTAGATCTTTGATTGATTCCAAAATTGATTCCAAAAGTAATTAAATGCATTCTTTAAATTTGCTTGTCCGTTAGTACGCATGTGACATAGCTGAACTCACGCAAAGGCTAATAAGCAAACAAAAGATTATAACGATTATCAACATCTGAAAGGTCTTTGACAAAATGAATATGTTTTCTAATTATTAAAAAAACTTGTTATTTTTGACTGAAGAAATTTTTAAACTTAAGCTCTCTCCTAATGAAAGACCTAATCTAATATATATATATATATATATATGTATATATATATATATATATATATATATATATATATATATATATATATATATATATATATATATATATATATATATATATATATATATATATATATATATATATATATATATATATATACTTATTTATTAAAATAGCATATATAAATTATGCTATTTTTATAACTCACGAGTTAAATAAGTTACAACAGATTTTATAACAGATTAACTAAATCATAAAAAAGCGGAGATTAATCATGCCAGACAATACTTATGCAAACAACATTAGAAATTTCAAGGAAAGAATTGGCAAACGGAAATAATAAAATATCCATTTAAATTTTGCAAAAAGTTTAATATGTCAAATAAAAGCTATAAAAATGTCCTCTAAGTTCTTTATTTACAAAGGTTTGCCAAATCAGATCGGATATTGAACACGCTCGTACAATTGGCATAAGTCTTGATCACTGGTAAAGTCAGCATGTTTAGTTGATACGTTAAGTTCTCGTCAGCAACGTTAAGTTCCGATAGCATGATAAACAGGTCTTAAAAGACCCGCGCAGCAGCTGCTAACCCTAACCATAACCTAAATACTTACTATAGCCTAAGTAGTAGTAGCAGGTAACAAGTAGCAGCTTCGCGGTCTTACTTATTTTAAAATTAGGTTAGTAACTTAAAATTGGTATAAATTAGAGCAGACTTTAAAATTGTATAAGCAAAATTGTTTCTTTAAATTTTCTAAGGTTTGCATTTAAATCAATTGTCCATGGTAACAAAATGATATAGAGTCCAGACAGAGTATTAGTGATATGTTGCTTTTATAAAGAGGTGTTTGAAGCGGTATTCTGTTTGAAGAGGTATTAAACAATTAATTATGTTTTTAAAGATTGTGTCCCATTATAAAAAGTATAAAAAGCCAAATAAAAAAAAAAGATCATTATCAACATTTTTAAGAAACATAATATTGTTTTTATTAATTGTGTCTTGAAAGGTCATAAGTTAGGGTTTAAATATGTCATACTCTATGATATAGCAAAGTCATTAGCTATGGTCTGGTAAAAACACAAGCTTTGGTCTAGTGAGGTTATAGGATATGGCCATGCTTTCTTAGACCATAACTTCGTCGGTTTTGGGGAGGTCCAGTAAAAAATTATAATTTTTTAATTTTATGCTATACAAAATACGTTTTTTCGCTCAATTTCTCATCAACTTAATTATAACATTTTTAACTGCTCAGTTGAAGCAACATTCCAGTAACGAAATTCGCACAAAACTCATTATTAACATTTTTAACTGGGCAGTTAACACCAACTTAACCTTTTCAATAATTATTTATGTTATTTTATAATTGATACAAACTGTTGTTTGTATCACTGTTAAGGTTTTGATTTTTCACTATTTTTATTATTTTTAAAGCTTACGTTTCTAATAATTATTTAATTTTAAACGATAAAAGTACGAAAGCCGGGGGTTATATAAAAGTTAGCTATTAAGAGAGGGTTACGTAAAGTAAGTAAATTATGTAAAGTAATTTATATGTAGTAAATCATAATAACTTTGGAAAAATTGTTATTATTTACCAAAAAAAAAACGAAGTTTGATATTGTTTGAATTAGTTTTATTTCAACCAGTACAAATTTTTCAAGTTTAGTGCGACGCACTTTATTGGCAACCCTAACAATAAAAAATTTTAAAAATTAGCAAAACAAGACAGTAAAACGGAAAGAGATTTAGAAAACAAGCAACAATTAATCAAAAAAAAAAAAAAAAAGACAAAGTCTGAGAGAATGAAAGTGAAGTTTTACCCAACAACATGTTTTTAAACGTTTATAAAATATATTTTAAAAAATCGTCTTGTGCTAATGATATTTTTTAAAATTTTATTGATTAATAATATTTTTTAAAATTTAAATATTCAGTGTTCAAACACCTTTTTATTTAAGTACTAATGCCTAAATGACATGCACATCTTTGAACTTTACTAGTTGAATTATAACATTTTCCTAATAGGCTTCTCTCAATATTGTAACTTTTAAATTTTCACTTCACTATATGCCTTGATATAACGCTGTGAGCGTACAGATAACTGCAGATTGGATAATTAAATTTCACCAACTGGAAAAAAATTCAGTAACTTAGCAGGGTCTAAAAAATAAGGAAATATAAAAAATAAAAAGAACTATAACTATATTGATTACATATATATTATTATTTTAAATAATGTTAAAATTATTAAAAATTAACTTTTATCATTAAATTTTACTCAGATTAAAATTTTTAAAAATTTTGTCATTCGATCTTGAGGAGGAATGGCAATAGTAATATAACGTTATTATCGTTATTATACGTTATTATCGATTCAACCGAGTTCAAGGAGAAAAGTCAGCATGGATTTATTGAACAATAAAACTCTTTTTAGTTGAACATATTATAAAAGCAATAATCAGTCGATTTAATTACATTCTTAAACAAATAAATTTACTAGAGCAGATTGATCGATAGTAACGCAAATATTTTAATTTGGATTGCTTCTAATCGATTAATTTAGATCTTTTGATAACGTTTTTTATTTAAAAGTAATCAGGAAAAATAAAAGATTCAATCAAGATTTTAAACAATGGAGATGTTTCTGTTAGTTTTACTTCTACTTTTAAAAAAAATAAACAGTAAAGCTATTAACTTAATTGAAAATCATCCAGAGGGGGAGATAGAGAATTGTAGACTTGAACTTGTTTCTGTTATTATTCCAAATTGCGAGAAAAAAGAAATCCGTGTATACGGCTGTCAAGGAAAATGCAAGACCACATCTTATATAGAGCTCGGAAAAGTTGTAAAGACTAAGTCATGCTGTAGACCTAAAAGTATTCAAAACTTTGAAGTTGCTGTAAACTGTTCAAGTAATTCAATAAAACACATAAAAATGTCGTCTGCAATAAGTTGTTTCTGCTTTACCGACAATTCTTTCATGTAAAAATAGTTTTTTATAATTTAAATAGGATATTTATAGTGTAAATAATTGTAAAATAAAAAGTTTATAGTCATACGAACTTCATTTTGTTATATTGATTGTTTTTTGGCGTCTATTGCGAACGCGCAAAAATCCAAGCAACTATACTTTATAACGCTTTAGAAATTTAAAAATGTAAGATAAATATGAAATTTCCCGACGGGCATTTGTTTCTAAAAGTTACGATCTAAATGTATTTTAAATGTCTTTTAAACGTCTTTTAAACATTAATGTTTTAAAGACGTTTAAAAGACGTTTAAAACACATTTAGAACGTAACTTTTAAAAACAAATGCCCGTCGGGTTGTTAATACTTTGTACTTACATATGAAATATAAACAACTGGGTAAATAAATATGGGTATTAAAACGACGGTGAAACTTTTTTATGATGTCCTCTACTGCAATGCTCTGTGGCAAGACCCAAGAAGATTTTATCGCGAAAATTCGGAAAATCTTTGTAAACAAAAAGGTTTTTTTTTTGAATCCACAATTCCAAAGTTTGTAAAAAGTGTATAGAAGAATTTAGTATGTTTAAGTAAAGAATAATACTCATACACGCCTAGAAACACGGACACACATCCATATACACGCGCGCTCGCATACGCGTACACACTCCTAAATATAGATACACACACTTACACACACAGACACACACACCACTCACACACACACACACACACACACACACTTACACATTCACATGCAAACACAACTATTCACTTACGCACGCGCACACACATACACACACATACCTAGGTTCTATTTACTATTGATAAATGTCAGAGTGAGTCTTAGGAGCCGTTTTAATCTCAATTATGTTTTATTTTAACCAAGCTCAGAAAATATTACCTTTACATGTGCTACCTCGGTTTTTAATAGACCTTATTTAAAATAATAAAAATATTTTAAACAAAATAAGGTCTATTAAATTACCTATTTTCTGATATCTAATAGAAATGTTTTTTAGACTCAATTGTAAAGAAATCATTAAAAGACTTTTCTCAATTAAAAATAATTAAACTCCTTATTTAACAACAAAGTTTTTCCTCTTTTTATAAAAAATTATGAAATTCTTTTTGTAAAAGACCTCATATAACTTTATTGTATCGGCATTTGTTTGCTTTTGAGACTTGTTAAAAGCCTCTTTTATTAAAAGTTTTAATAAAAATCACTAGTTAATTAACAATTCTAAGAGATTTTTTTTAAAGCTATGTTTAAATTAGAAACCAAATTTATTTAAAATTTTTATTTACAAACTTCTCGCTACCTCAAAACACAAATGATTAAATACTACAGGAGAGACAAAAACTCACATTTACAAACATCTCCATGCTAAGACAAATAATTGACAAGTAAGTAACGAGCGGCTTTCGACAGTCTGTTTTATATGATATATGTTTTATATATCAAAAACATTTATATACCATGTTATAAATATCATCATTATAATTATCAAAACAAAAACTGTTTTGATGAGTATAATAATAACTGTTTTTTGATATTGGATTCTGCTACCAATAAAATCTTAAAGTTAAGGAAAGTTTGTTCATTGAATGGAAAAGATATGAACAGTTGAACCATTATAAGATCTTTTCACATAATAGTTAGCATTTTATAAGTCGTTAATCTTTTGTTTGATAATTAAATCTTTTTTTATTGTATTTTTTGCTATTGGCAATTTTGTCGTAATTAATAAAAAACCTAATAAGATAAAAATAATTTAAAAAATCTAAATTAACTATATACAAATAATTAAAATATATAAATAAATTAAAAATACAATTAAGGAAAACAATATTTTGCATTAACTCAGTTGGTTTGCTTCGAATGCTTACATTAGGTAAGTACATATAATCATGTAAGTAACATGTCAGTGGCGTAATTATAAGGTTGCAGGTGCTAAATGCTAACAAAATTCTACAAGCTTTGTCAATAAAACGAGCCTTGTTTATATTATATGCTATTAAACGTACTTTTTTTAAACACTGTATACAATTTTGTACTTTAATACATAAAATGGAGAGAATGTTAAAAAATTAAACAAAATTAAAAACGTAGAATCATATCTTTATAAAACTTGTTTATCAAAAACGAGTGATCCTTTATTCCCCACTTACCTAACAATTATTCAAACATTCAAGAGACCCGGCAAGAGGGCGCAATCTCATAAACAACTTAACATTTTTGAAAAAACTTTATAAAAATACTTAAAATCAATTGAAGTTAGGCATAATAACCATGCACTAATTTAAATAAGTTATGAGTTAGTACATATAAATCATATAGTACATATAAATCATATAGTACATATAAATCATATAGTACATATATAATCATATAGAACATTTTTTGTGGCGCTGGCATACAACTAGCGATGTATGATGTTAGAATAATGTTGTTTTGAAAATTTTGTCGGAAGAATTAAAAAGGTATCAACGCGAGTTTGGAAAATGGAAGCAAATACTATAGCAGAAAAATAATCCATCAACCTTGAAGTTTGTAAAAATCGTTAGATAAAGGTAAAACACCATTTCGACAAGCTTTACGAAGCTAAACTTCTCGATGATCTGGAAAGTAAATTTATTAAGAACACATTTTAATGAGTATTAATCATTATTATTAGTCAAATAGATTGCTATTTCTACCAATTAATAAAATTGTTTACATGTCAACGTTTTGCCATTTTGAAAAATTCAAATGACACTCTTCAAAACAGCTCTAGAATTCGAAATGTTTCAAAAGACATATCTGAATTATTTGTCTGGGATATTCTTAGTCTTTTGGTCCACCTTTAGAGTTAAAATAGTTAATATTCTGAGAACTAGTTGTTTTATTAATAATGAAGAATCCTTTTATGTTGAGCAACTTTCCTGATTTATTTGTTATTTATTTTGTTTGTTACTGAATGTTATTTATTACATTTTTTTTTTTTTTTTTATTTTGTGTAATTTATTTCGCCGTTAAAAAATATTTACATTGCATATACTTTTGTCGAAATAAATGGCTGGAGCAAGAAGAAGGCACATTTTGTCTTATCGCCGAGCCCCTTATATATAAAAAAAAAATTCTACATAACCGTAACATACAAATATATATAAAGACATAAATCAGAATTAAAACAGAAAATAACTAAGAAATTAAAGAAATTCAAAATAGCAAATAAGTAAGAAGTGTTAAATTGCTTACAACCGCTAAAATGTATAAGAACACTTAAAAAAAATTTTAAATAAAAAAATAATGTAAAATTTCATAATTAACATAATCACTAGATGAATTTTGAACATCATCACTTTATTTAATTGGTATAAATAAATCTGTTTTGAGCTTACTTTAAAAGAAACATTTAAAGTCGGAAAAAATAAATTCCCTAAACAGCAATAATCTTTTTGATTCATTTTTGAATTGCTCTAAGGTAGCCTTGTTTCTGTTGACAATATTTGGGAATTTTTCCCATAAATAAGTTCCACGGTATTTAACTGAATAGGAGGTTAATTTTAGATTATATTTGAGTAGAACAAAGTTATTATCTGAAAACATAGTTGAATACTTATAATTAATTTTATTAAAATATATTTGAAAGATTTTTGGGGACAACCCCATTTTTGTTTTAAACATAAATAATAAAACTTGGTGTAAATTGAGTTTATACACATTTAAAGCACCAAGCGCACGTAAAAGTGGTTCGCAAGAAGTTTTTCTACAGGGTCCAAACACTATTCTGCACGCATGTTTTTGTTTATTGTAAATTTTCTTGAGCTTTGTATAGCCAGTACTAGTCCACACAATGTTACAATAAGACAAATGACTGTGAGTAAAAGCAAAATATAATTTTTTCAGAGATGTTACATTTAAAAAAGCTTTGGCCTTTCTTTTACTCACATCTAGAACTGAAAAACCGTTTATAAAACTTAAATTTATAAAAATTTATTTAAGAAACTCATTGGGACAATACAGGTTACATAAGTTGGCCACTCTGTCAAATTAAATTTCTATGACGCAATCTTTAAACTTTGATGACGTTATTGATACATTTACGGAAGAGAATGTTTAGAGCAAAGAATTTTATCAATAAACATAAAGATTAAATTGTTATTTCATAATAAATATGTAATCCCTTTTAAAAACAAAATTTATAAAAATTAAAAAAAAAAATGCACACAATATTAGCAATACTGTCAAGTAACTTCTTAATTGATTTAATAAAATACTGTGACAACTTAGATAATCTAATTACTGTATACAATGCTCATTACTTATTGGATAAACAACGTTTAAACATTCTCAATTTTTAAATTTTAATTTTAATATTTCTAAAGTACAAAACCTGATTCCTAAATTATAATAGAGTACAACGGGGCTATTTGAGCATAAGGGTAAGTTGGTCAATTAAAATATCGTTAAAACTACGGAACACATGAGAATTAGAGTATTAACACAATGTGCAACAAAAGATTGCTGGAATACAATTAATTAAGATTCACGGGCACTTTCTATTTTGGACTAAAAAAAGTTAAAAAATATTTTTTGCTATTTTTCTCTTATATGCTTATAAATTTTTTTATCTGCCATCACTTATGTGTTGATATTTTACCAAATTATCAGACAGACGATTAAAAGTCTTACTGTTTTCTTTAAAACCTAACTAATGCGTCACCTTGTCTGTTAGAGGTAAGTTGAGCACCTTTAAAAAAGTACATAAAAGTGAACAATTGAACACAAAGAAACAATTTTGATGAGAAATAAATTTGCTTTACATATATTTTTATAATTAGCAGTTTTTAAATCAGGCTTTAAAGTTCAAGATAGTTGTATAAAATAATGTTTTTATACTTTATAACACTTTCTTAGTATTTAATTTTTTTCTCTTTCCTTACTTACGACATAAAAGTGTATAAAATAAAAAGTTTATAAATTATACACATGCTTACTGTTAGTGAAAGTTTTATTGATGATTCACCCAAGTTTCGTACCTACCCCGCTGGGGCAGGTTTAGAAGCTCTGCAAAGTTTAGGCAATATCTTCTCAAAAAAATCTAAAACTATACTTTTTCTTTAAACAAGTTTTTGCAGGTTAAATTATCTTTTAAATATCGAAAAGATTGTGTAAACTGTTCAGATTTAAGACTGGTAGTAAAAATTCAACTAACCCCATTTTTTACGCATAAAACATTTAATTCAACATTATTGATATTTTATAAAAATATTTTTTTTTCGATGACACACATCACAAATATTAGATTTATGCGTTTGAGTTATCCATTTTGAATTTTATCCATTTTGTTTTGATAATTGTAGAAATCAAGTGTGAAAATAATGTCTATTATGACATCTGGGATTAAAATCTGTTATAAGAAGTTTTATATTTCACACTTGACTCTCGATAGATCTCGAATACTTGATATCGCCAAATTTTTAGTGATAGGCGCAATATTATTCAGCTGAATTTTGATATTTTTGTTCTTCAGGCCAATTTTCAATTGTAAAAAAGAATTATACAGCTGCAGCTGTATAATTCTTTTTTACTTTTTCAGTTATAGCGGATGTTGGCGACAGGTTTTTATAAACAGAAAGTTCTTAACCGAGGTTAGTACGTATCGACTATTATTAATTTAGATTTCGTTTATTTTAAAAAAATCAACACAAATTCTTTATTAATAAAATTTTTTTGTTTCCTATAGTTTGTTTTGGCTTTTCTTTTATAAATACATTTTTTCAAAATAGTTTTTGCAAAATAGTTTATGCTATGTGTTATATAAATATTTTATATATTATTATCAAATACAAAAATAATATAATATAATAAGTCAATGAAACATGAGAGTTTTCATAAAACATTGCTAAAAGTTTTAAAAAATACATTAATTACCATATTGTTTATATGACGTCAAAAGGTACTCGTAGCGGGATTATTTTATTTTGACTACAGTTTTATGACGTTAATAAACTTTGTTAAACTTTATCTGTCTCAGAAAAGTTAATTTTTTTTTTAAATTTAAAGTGCGCGTCTTGTGACGTCATAAAAACAACTGATTTTCTCGAGCAGCAAAATTGAAACACACCAAAAACAGGAAAAAAAATAAAGAAAACATAACAAAAATAAATATAAAGAAAAAGAAAAAAAGAAAAAAAAAAAAAAATAGAATTCTTTTTTGTTTTTTTAACTAATTTTTGTTTATTTAAATTCTTATTCATGATTTTAGGCATAAAATTTATTCGTCAGCAATATATAATGCAAGTATAAAAAATACAAAAATATGAAAAACTTTACAATTTTACGCAATTAATTCGTTAACAATGGCGTATAAAAATATTATAAAACTTAAAAATTTATTAGTAAACAAATAATTTAATCACAGTTATCATTTTTGAAAGATATATTTTATATATAAAAAAATATTTATAAGAAATTATTTTATTTTATATATGTTTATATATATATATATATATATATATATATATATATATATATATATATATATATATATATATATATATATATATATATATATATATATATATATATATATATATATATATATATATATATATATATATATATATATATATATATATATATATATATATATATATATATAATTGTTTAATTCGTGAGCTGTTTCAAATACAGAATTTTAAAGTATTTTGTGAATACTAGAAATAATGGTGGTTAGAAGGGAAGAGAGCATCATAACATAACATGCGCCGGGCATCATAAAGTCTACTCTCTCTCTCTCTCTCTCTCTCTCTCTCTCTCTCTCTCTCTATATATATATATATATATATATATATATATATATATATATATATATATATATATATATATACATATATATATATATATATATATATATATATATATATATATATATATATATATATATATATATATATATATATATATTTATATATATATATATATATATATATATATATATATATATATATATATATATATATATATATATATATATATATATATATATATATATTATACAAATCTAGGAGTATTTTAAACAAAAACCATTTAACACAATTATACTACTCTTTTACTCCTTGTCATTTAAATTAAGCAAATTATTGTATGGGGAAGTACACATAAAACTAAACGAAAATCTCTTTATCGTCATGAGAAACACGCAGCTTGTATAATAAATTTTAAAAAATACCTTTTCTCTGGAATGAAATAGTAAGGCCTAATTTTGTTATTTCATCTGAATTGACCAATTCCTTTTTCAAACAATCTAAAAAAAATTATTTAAAAAAAAAATTTTTAGAAAATATTATCAGTTGTTATACTGCATAGAGATTTGTTTTTATTGTGAGTTTCACTTCTAAAGTATGTAAAGTATTTAATTTATGGTATATTTAGTGATTATATATTTTACGTATGTATTCATTTTATAAGGTATACAGATGTTTTTATTATTGAAGAAAATTAATTTTTATTAAAAAGAAAGTTTTATATTGTTAAGTGCTTCGTGAAAAGGTTATTACAATCATCCTGAAGTCCTTCCGGTATAATATTATAAATTTTATTGTAAATATTTTATTGTAAATATATTAAACTAATTAAAAGTAAATGATATTAAACTAATTAACATAATTAGATCTTCTTCTGATATAGAAAAGACTCAAACAGATCAATGACATGGTCAATCAAACAAATTAATGACATGGTCACAAGAATGGCTATTGAAATTTAATGTCAGCAAATGTAAACGCATGCATATAGGTTGCAAAAATACTAAGCATATAAAGACAGTGTATGATTAAGAGTTAAATAGAATTAAACTACCAGAAACCAAAATTGAAAAAAATTTAGGAATTATGATTTTAAACAACTTAAAATGGTCTAGTCTAATGGTCTAATTAACTTTAATTATGTGTCTGGTAAAGCTAATAAAATGTTAGGAATAATAAAACATTTATTTAAAACTAATTAAATTAAATTAACTAAATTACTCTCTTGTAAGTCCGTATCTAGACTACGCAAATTCAGTGTGGTATTCTTAGTTAAAACAAGATTAAAAAAAAATTGAATCGATACAACGTAAAGCAACAAGAAGAAAATGTCTTTAAGGGAAAAACTTTGAAAATAGACTAACCTACTTTAAACTAACGACTCTTGAAAAAAGACGCGAACTTTATGACCTAATCCAACTTTACAAAATAGTTAAAAAAAGTCGATAGTTTAACATTTGAATACCCACCAGATTTAATAGCTACAAATACGAGAGGTCACAATATGAGGTTTCATAGACAATTAACTAAAAATGCAAAGAGATACTATTTCTTAACAAATCGTGTTATTAGCAGCTGGAATAACTTAGATCAAAACATTGTAGATTCTAAATCACTTAAACAATTTCGGACTTATTTTTTAACATAAATTGGCTGTTAAAGCCTAGATTACCTAGGCTCCGTACATTGTCATTGTACATATTGTATTTTGTACATTTTTTTTTTTTTTCTAACAAACTTTTCAAAGGGTCAAATAGGTATTTGTATTTGGTAAAAACAATTTTGGCGTATTTGTATTCGTACTGTGTTCGATTAAAACTTTTTTTTTACTTTTTGTGTTTGTATTTGATTGAAATGTGTTTGCGATTCCATAAATTAGGTTAATCGGTGTTTTTATGGAAAATACCTTTGACTAGTTTTTTTTTTTTTTCATTTTCAAAACTAAAATAAATTACAATTATTTTCATGAGATATTTCTTGAAAAATTCTTTACATATATTTTTTAACCTAATGTACAAATATTTCTATTTGTATTTGAAAAATGCCGATTGCATATATTTGTATTTGAGTTTTCATTTGAAAATCTAGAATTAATGTATTTGTATTTGACCCCAACCCTGTTGACAATTGTATCTCACCGTTTTGTTATTATAGATTTAGATATTTTGCAGATGAGTTTGTTTACTACCGGAAAGACAGTAATTACTAATTACTAGTAATTACAGTAATTACTACATTGCTGCAAATCTTATCAATTTGATTATTTTCAAAAAATATTTTACAATATAGAGTTTTTCATAATTTAGTTTATTTAATGTTAGTTTACTATGTAAAACTCTAAAGTCAACATTACGAATAAACATTCACTTTTTAAACTTCGTCATGTTTTTTCTAAATTTCATTTTTTCAACATTTTGTAAAAAATAAAACTCAATGTAGAAATACGAATTTACAGACTATATATTTAATCTATAACGAAAAAAGGGAAATCAAAACTTTTTTTTTTTTTAATAGATACAATGCGAAGTCTTCTTGACAAATTTTGATCGATATTTTAAAATACTTTTTAAATTCTTTTTAACTTTTACTTTTTAAGTTCTTGTCTTTTCATCGGTCAACAACATTTTATACTACTTTTTGGACGTTTTGTATTTTGATTGATCAACGACGTATTTAATTCATTAATTTTCTAACAAAGGCAAGTAAAATTACCCTATCCTCCTCCCTCACACACAATAAAAATATAAAGTATAAATGAGCCAAACAAACGACGAGGACTTGAAAAAATTTTTTAAAGCCTGATTGATTAAACTTTTTTTGTAAACTGTAAATAGGGTAAACCGGGGTAAATCAAGGAAACTCTACCTACTATTTTTTAAAAATGCCTAAAATAACTATATATATAGTACAAAACAATAAATGAACATATAAATAATATATAATAATAACATACAAACAAATAAATAAATGAACTCTTTTTATTTTACAAAATCCAAGCAAGTATCTAATTTAAAAATCAGTTTTAACAAAAGAAAATACATTTGAAGCAATGCAACTCTTTTCTGAAAAAAATTGGAAATGCATTTTTACAACAAATACTTAAATAACTAATAAGTTTGTACAAAATAAGATATTTTTTTAAAAGTATTTAAGATTTGGGTTAAGACAGCATTAAACTGGGGAATGAATCGCTTCACTGCTTGACTCATTTGTGTTGGAGTTTTCATTTTTAATTTTGCATTGTTCTGAATATTAAAACAAAAATTTTAAAACAATAATATATAGTTTATAGAAGACTTATTTCAAATAAAAAAAAAAAGAGAAGTTGAAGAAAAAAAGAAGAAATTTTTTATGAATTTTTTACTCAAGGGTGGGTGTGGGGTGTGTGTGTGCGTGAAATTGTTCTTTTAAAGGGTGATCACATCTAAAATATAAAAAATAACTTCTTAGAGGTATCATTTCATTTAGGATATAAAAAAACACATCCAAAATATAAAAAATGACTTTAAAATGTTGTTTTGGTTTGTTTATTGTTAATTACTAAAAATTATAACTTGTTTTAGTTTTAAAACAAACTTTTTGTTTATGTTGTTGCATTTATTCACTAGACCTAGACTCATACTTGAAAACATTTTTTTAAAATGTAAACATTCAATGTAAACATTTAGTATGAAAAATTAAATGTGAAGATTAATAACGACGATTAGTCATCACCAGAGATCAGGTAATGTCTTAAAGCAGCAAAAATATATTTCAGAGACTTTGCCTCACACGAATTAATTAAGAACACAGTTTTCCCCTACATCTCCTTGCTCACAGTTTTACCTTACATGTCCTTGCTGACAAAGTCCATAAATTTTAACCTTTTAATACAGTTACACCTGTTTTCTTTTTCTAGTTTAACTTCTGGAAAAGATAAGCATATAAGTATGGTGTCCAACGCACACGTCACGTGGTTTATTTTTAACTAATCTATAGCTTTAATAGCTACAAATTATTATAAATTTTGGAATATAAAAGTCATCATATCATGACTATGATCATAGTGATATTGTGATTATGGTATTTCTCATGTCTATCATCTAAAAAACAAATTAGAAAACGTAAAATTGTTTATTTTTTTATTTATTATTTTTATTAGTACTATTTTCACAAATATTTCTTGTTAAAACAATATTTTAGCTTAAAACATAGACTAAAAAAACTCTACTACAATTAACAATTAATATTAATAAAAAATCAGATCATTAATAAAAAGTCAAATTTTTACGGACTGCAAAAAAAAAAAAAAAAAACACAAAAAAAAAACACACAAAAAAGCAAACAAGCATATGAAACAAAAAAAAAAAACAAAGATATAATTTAACATTTTATCGTTATTTTTAAAATTTTGTTTTATTTTCAGTTTTATTATTTTGTTTTGCTGATAAGTTCAGTTTACAATTTATCGTAATATACTTCGTAATAAACTTAGTATCTAAAAAAGAGATCTTGGTTGACGCCGCCATTCGTGGTTGACGCCGCTATTCAAAAAACATAAAATTTAAATAACAAAATGAATTTAAAAATTACTTAAAAATGTAGAATCAAATTTAACAAACAGATTTATATTTGAGAAGTAACAAAATATTATCAGTTGAAAATTTATTATTTTTTTTATTAAAAAAACTTGTTTTTCTTTTTTAAAACTAAAGTAAAAATTTGATTTGAAAATAAAAATCAAGTTTAACAAAGCAAATCATTTTGTTTTCATAGTTTTAGATAAAGTTTTTATAAAGTTTTTATAGATAAAGTGTTCAATCGTACAAATCTGATTAAACTTTATTTGACAAAAGGATTTGTTTAATAAATTAAACTTTTCAAGACTCCCCCTCCCCCATGCGACATTCTGTACCATATTCATAAAACCGCCTCACTTTTTTCAGAAAGTGACAGAAAGTGAGAATTTTTTAAATGTATATTTTTAATTGGAATAATATTAAGTGTTTAAAAAAGTACAATTGATGAATTTCTGGTTCTAAATTTCTTCTATGTGTAAAAAAAAAAAAAAAAAAAGAAACGTTAAAAACAGCACAAAAAAATTAATTAGTTTTACGATTTCATTAGAAATTAAATTGAAAATATTTTTCAATTCAATTTTTTATGACGTCTTAAAATCATTTTTCGTTAGAGTGGAACAAGACCTGTTTCGTTGACGAATTTATTAATCAGTTAGAAATAAATTTAAGATCTTTATTTATACTACTTATTTATAAAAAAAGTTTTAAAATAATTTCTCTGGAGACCCTGGTTTTTATCTCTTGGTTAAAACAAGTTCTCTGGACCGGCAGCGTTTTTGTAAATAATGTTGACGTTTTTAGATTTTGAGATTTTTTTAGAGTTTGTAAATGATGTTGACGTTTTATTTTTTAAAATTTAAATAAAAAAATAAATAGATGTTACTTAACATTTAATACAAATCGGTAAAAAAAAAAAAAAATTAATAACAAGGTTTGTATGTAACTCATACATATATACCACGTATGCAACTGATTTTTTATGTATATTACACGTCTAGAAAGAGGTACTCAATGATAAGACTGACTTAAGTCTTCTGCGAGCTTCCTATAACTACAAACAAGTAATTCTTTTTATCAATCTTACACAAATTTTGTTTTTATCATATTTATACACAAACATTATTTTGAAATGTGGTAAATAAATTTATTGTGAAAAAATCTAAACATTCCTCCGAAAAATCAGCAGATTTATTTTTATTTATTGTACTTTTTATTTTAATTGGAAGAATATAGAGATATATTTCTTATATTTCTCGGATTATTTTTACTTACAAGTTATTACATTGTTGTAATTGGTATTTATTTTAATCATGTCTTATAGTTGTATGCAACTATATTTTTTATTTACATCGTATATTTCGAACTTTATGTTTATGATATTTATATTTGTATATCTTTACCGCCAATCTGTGATTGGTTACTTGTAAATACTTTGTAGTTGTAAAATAAACATGTATATATATTGAAAAAAAATAGTAATAATATAAATGTTGTGGTATCAAACATTTTGGTCTCTTGCAGCCAGCTATCAAACATCATCGGTCTCGAGCATTCTATTCTACTACTTCTCAACAAATCTTCTTTGTGTTTCAAATATCTTGTATCTTATTATAAATATATTGAACTTACAATTCTAATCGTACGAAAAACTACACTTAATTCAATTTCCCCGTAAACCAAGAAATTAAAAATTATTTAATTCTCAGAGCTTAACATGTGAATACGCGTGCTAGTTAATGCCGGTGCAAAGGAAGAGGGTGTGACACCCCCAACTTTTGCCGGCCTTAATAGCAAAAGAAAAATTCATTGATGGGAATCAATGATTTTTTGTTCATTTAATGGGCAAATTTGACCCTTTTAGACAAGTCAGTCGGCAATAGTAGACCCTAGTGCTAAGATTATATTATCAGTTAAAAAAACAAAAAAAAAACTATTTTCAGCTAGTTCACACTCTTAAAAATGTTTGAAAAACTTATAAAGTAATTGTGGTTCTAAGATTACTACTAGCAAAACACTGCAAAGTTCAAAAAAAAAAAATTCTCTAAACATTGATTTTTTGCTTTTCGTGAAACAAAGTACCGTCAACCAATCGTATTCAATACTACATATTCCTTAATTTTACAACTAAATTGTTTGTATATTTAGAACTATGTTTTAAATAAACAAAGTTCTAAATATATGAAAAACTTCTTTTTTTTAAGTTGACAAGCAGTAAATTGTCACAAACAAAGTGACTAATTTTGTCTAAACCTTTGTAATTAAATTTAAACTAAGAAAAAAATAATATTTTTAATACTTCACAAGTAGTTTATTAACAATAAAAAATGACAGCGAAACGTCAAAAATATATTAATATAAACTTACAAATTTGTATATTATTTGTAATAATATCACTATAAATATTTTTATTTTAATAAGTACTATGATTTTTTTTACAAACAGAACAAAATATTTCCTTTTTACAAGTAAAAATTGTTTATTAGAGTATTTCAAAATGTATAAAGATCAAGCTACAGATTTTTTATTGGTTAAATTGTTTAATTTTTTTAGTATCATCATTAACAAAAAAACAACAACAAAATTATGCAAATCAGATGAAAGAAATGCAAATCAGATGAAAGAACTTAAATTTAAAAATTATTAAATTCAAATATTAAAACAAGGTTTATTGAAGTTCTTGCTGTTCTTGTGCTTTATGTTGTTTTTCATCTTCTACCAACGATTCAGGTTGTATTCTTTATTTTCTATCGTTTCATGTTGTAATCCTTATCTTATTGTTTCAATGTTTACCGGCATCGTTTCCACGTTTCACGTTGAATTCTTCACCTTATTATTTACGTAAAATTTTTCTTGTTATCGTTTCACGTTATATTTAATTAATAAGATGATATGGGACCCAATGGTTTTGTTCTAAAATAAAAGACTATTAAAAAAGAGACTATACATTAAAAGCCAACATTAGATTCAACTCAATATACCGTGTGCCTCAGCAGGATGCTTGAGACATAACCGTCCTATTTCGAGTGCCGCAGCAGGATACTCGAGACATAATCGTTCTATTTCGAGTGCCGATGCAGGATACTCGAGACATAATCGTTCTATTTCGAGTGCCGAAGCAGGATACTCGAGTTTCTATTAATTCCTAATAAAATAGGAACCATTTGACACCGGATATTAAATAACTTGGTAATTTATTTTCCGACACAATCAAACTCCAGGCGCAATAAAGTTGTTGACAAAAAGTTAACAAAATGTATTTTAATATCCGAATTTATATTCATCAATAAATTTCAAATTTCAACTAATAATATTTTGGTGTTTAAAAGTGGAGGCCATGTAAAAAATTCCAAATCCTACAAAATAACGAGGGTTTGCATTCAACTTATAAACTTTTGGTAAACTTTTAAAGACTTAAATATTTTTAGATGAAACTTGCAATCTATTAATGAATATAAATTTAATTTGCCAAAAGTATAAAATTCAGTAAATTATTGTCCTCGCATTTGAAGTGGGAAGGACAACAAGTTTTGGGGTTTTGTTGTTCCCAGATTCAAATCATTTTAATTTTTATCAAAGCATAATAGATATAGCTATAATATAAAGCTGTGGATTCAAAGGCGATTTTACGGTGTGGTGAGGTGAGATGTTACACCCCCCCTCCTCCCCAAAGAAGGTGATTTTCAAATTATAGTCGGTATTTTTACGAATTTAGTCGGCTAGTTGGTTATTTGACACAATTCAGTTGGTTAAATTTTCGTTTTAGGGACCTTTTTTTTTTTATGAAGCCAGTCGGTACTTTTTGAGAACTCACCCCCCTTCATTTTATTCGTAGAATCGCCTCTGCGTGGATTAGCTATAAGTAGAACTCACCCATATTTAGACGGCCGATATCTAATTTTTAATGAATTTTTGTTTTGGCTCTAACCAGCGAAATTTTTGGCAAAACATTTTTATATAACATTATTATGAACATACAAAAGTTTAGAGTTAAGAACTTACCTGAAAGTTACTTATATCGAATACAAAAAATGCTCTTTAGGTGTGTCGGGTACCCGACTCGTAACCGGATTTCCGGCGCTATTCTCGGTTACCCGAAACCAGCCTTACTGGAATTTTAATGTTTGTTCATTGTAATTTCAAGTTATATACAGTTATATAAACAGTTAAAAACGAAGTAAAAAAAACTTTAAAAAAATAATATTATATATTTTGTATATTATTATAGTAAAAAACTGTCACTAATTGTTTAATAATATCTTACAGTATTGCGAAAATTCATTTTTCTCTGAAGAAATGCAATTAACGCAAATAATTAAATGCAAAAAAAACTATTAATATAACAGCGTCATTGACAATATATTATACACAGCATTAAAAACTATAAATAATTAACTAAAAGTAAATAACTTCAAAATCAACGATAATAGAGAACTAAAGTATTCTAAGTTAACTCTAAAGATTTTTATGAATAGTATTTGTGTACAATTGTACAATTATGAAATTAATGTATGAAATTAATGTATATTATTATTTGTGTATACAATTATGAAATTAATGTATGAAATTAATGTATATTATTATTTGTGTATACAATTATGAAATTAATGTATGAAATTAATGTATATTATTATTTGTGTATACAATTATGAAATTAATGTATATTAGTATAATAATACAAAGTTATATTTATAAACAATTTTAATACCATTTGTGTTAATATTTTATTGCAATTCAATTCACAAGCTAGTTTTTTTTGAACCGTAAACCTAATAATAACTGATGATTGTTTATTAAACTATAATTCATGATGTTTATTTAAATTTGTGTTATTTTTTGTCAATCGATGTATTAAAGATACATAATTTGCAAAAAAGTTTATTGATATAGAAATTATTATTATATTTGTAGCCCTTAAAAAAGTTAGCATTAAATATAAAAAAGTTCGCTCCATTTCAAAAAATTTGAAATAATGTTCCCAGTGCATGATATGCAGATTTGAACTCGGTATTTTCAGACGGGAATATATTGCACAATTGGGGACCATAAGTTGGCACATCTCTATATTAAACATTTTTTTAGTACATAAATATTAGGTTGAAATACTTTTATATAAATCCATTTTTGCCCATGACGCTAGAAAATATAAAAACAAATATTATAACTCAAAAATGATAAATCTAAAAGAATTTATTCTTTATGAGCGGCGCTTAAAACGACCTATAAGAACTTATTCTTTAAAAGCGAGACTGAGCGATAAAAATATGTATACTAGAAATAAAAAGAAAAACAAATAACTTGATACAAATGTTCAAAATAGTGAAAAATAGTTTAAATAAAATCATCTTGCATTCAGTTCTAGAATTCTAAAGTACTAAATCGTGCACGTGTTTAACTAAGCGTGTAAATCAATACAAAATTTGACGTGAACTTCTAACGATTAATATCATATTAGCTGAACGGGACCGTAGAAATACGGGTCTTTGTAAGCTTATTTATCATCGACCTTTTTTAAGCAGTCGGGATTCACAAAACACAGGTCTTCACCAAACTGACTATTCAATACTTATCCATTCCACACCGATCATTGCTATATTTATTCCTTATTTTTTTTATTTTTTTTAGTAAAATAATTCATTCTAAAAAATTCCTTTAAGAGCGAAAAGTTTATAAGAAATTTATAAAATGGTTTATTTTACTCCTACTCAGCGCACTTAAAGTTTTCAAATATTTTACTGTTGTTTGTTCTGTGGCAACAAACATATAAATTTTCCGGTCCGCAACATATTCACAAGGGTTAGTGATATAACATAATTAAGATTTATTAAAAAAACCTTATGATTTTCATTTACAAGATGTTTGATTTTATGTTTTTTCAGTTAAAACTTTAAATACTGTAACTTTAGCAAAACCACAAGTTAAAAGATCGACAATAGGCTGCTCTGTCATTTTAAAAGACAAATTTAATTGAGTGGGTCAGAAGCCAAGGGGTACAAGTGACATTTTCATAGTTTTGAGATACAGCTGTTTAAAGTTAAAGTATTTTTGTTAAATATACTCAGCTGTTGTTATGTTTTTCCAGTAGAAAGCAGCACAGGGCAGAGATTCACTTGCATCCCTTGGCCACCAACAATTTTGTTTGCTTCTTCTATCAAATTCTATACTTAACTTAATTTTGGTAAAATTGTCACTTATACCCCTTGGCTTCTGACCCACTCAATTGTATTATAAATCTTTTGTGAAAATAAATTTTTTACTTGTTCTTTTGTTTTCATAATAATGTTTTTTACTCGTTCCTTTGTTTTCCGAATTTGCTTAAGAAATATTAAATTTTGCCGCTATTTTACATATATTTACAATAATCTCAAGTAATTTAAAGACCCGATTTTTAGTTAAATAACTTAATGACATAATAAAATAGAGGTGATGCATATCACAATAATGTTTAAAGTTTGAACTTAGACTTTTAAATGAAGCATAAGACATAAAACATTAAAAGTCCAACGAGCCTTATGTCAAATTTTATGTTCATCACATTCAAATTTCATATTTAATCGAAAAAACAGATTTTAAACTTGAAATAACTATTTTTTTTCTACCTTTGATATGTTTTTAGAAATACGACTGGTTAGAAATTGAATATACGATTCAAAACTTATATGAAAATGTTGTTTTCTTTAGTTAATGCTTTATCTTCCTATAGCATCAACAACATTTTATACCAAAAAATAATGAACTATAAAGCAAAATTTTATACTTTAACTCGAATAATTTAAAAAAATTTTAACATTATTTAATTTTAGACATACGAAATAAGGAACGAAAAATCGCTGTCAATCGCCGCAAAAACCGCTAATAACCGCAAAAACCGACAATCACCGCACTGAAAAGCTGATAACCGACCATCACCGCAAAAGTCCGATCACCGCAAATGGTCGATTTTTTGTTCCCTGATACGAAAGGACTAAAACTAAAAAAAATTTGTTTTTTTCATTTTTTTAGCTGTGTTAAAAAAATTCAGTTAAACATAGCCTTTTTACTAAAACGCAAAATTCGTTTATTTTCCAGAACGTGCATTGAATGCGTTGAGTAGGTGCAGTTTTTGACGGCGTTCGAACGCTGCCATCAGTGTTCATCAATCACGGCAATCACTCAACTTATGCAAAAGACGTTTACGCTTATAGATGTTTGTAACTGACGCTATACAATTGGCGGAAGTAAGAAGATGACGTAATTTTAGCAAACAGAAATTAAGAAGAGAGGGATGAAAAATCTAAAATCAAAGTTACAAATTTTCCACTGGCATAAAACAGCATGTTTCATATTTTTTCAATGACGTCAATTTTTTTAAATAAAATAACTTAAATACAAAAATTTAAAACAAAAACAGTTTAAGCAAAACAGACGTGTAATTATTAGAAAAGTTTTGTTATATTCTGTATAAAGCGTTATGTAAGTGGATTTTTTACGTTTGGGGCCATCCATAAAGGACGTCACCATTTTTTAGCCAATTTTTGACCCCTCCCCCGCCTTTGTCACCGGTTGTCCTTTTTCCCTATACCCCCCTGGAAAAGGACGTCATAAAATCCTGACCCTTCTCCGTATTTTTAACTCCGAAAATATGCTGAATTTTTTGAATCTGCTGCTACACCTTTGAAAAATAAAATTAAAAATATTCTCATACATTATCTTCTTAAAAATGTTTACGTAGTTTTACATGTTTACGTAGTTTTCCATGTTAATTAAACTAAAATAAAAAATCTATAAAGTGACGTCCTTTTCTGACAACCTCCTCCCTCCCCTTGTCCTTTTTAACTCGACCCCCTCCCCCCCCCCCTATTTGGATGACGTCCTTTATGGATGGCCCCTTTGCATATAATATATTTGTTTATTGTTATATTATGTTACATTAAGACCAGGTGAATAAAAAAAAGCAATTGTTTTTGCTCAGTAAATGGTCAGCTTTACGTGAAAAAAAACTTTAGCAATTTTGCTCAAACTTTTATTCACGTAAAGCTGATCAATTACTCAGCGTTTTTGCTTAGCTTTACGTGAATAAAAAATTAAACGAATGTCCTAAAACTTTATTCACGTATAAATTGAATTACTCCAAAAACGCTGAGTAAAAGCAATTGCTTTTTTATGCAGTTATGCTATGCAAGAAAGTTGCGCTTATTTAAAGAACACGCTTGAAAAGTGTTGATTAATTGCAATCGGTATAAGAGTTTATAAAATAGTTTGTTTTTCTATTACATGCATAAATTCGATAGATCAGTGGTTTAATGCGCTGTTATCTGTGTCGTTTTGCGAGGGTTCAAATCCGCCAAATGTATGTTTTTTTTTGTATGTTTAAATCTTAAACAACAAAAAAATGCTGGATCCGTCGCTGCAAATTTCCCAGTGTTTTAATGTTTTTTAATTTTTAAATTTTTTTTATAAATTCTCTTCCTTTCGTTTTTTATAATATCTTTATATATGTTATGTATATAACATCTATAAAATTTTAAAAGTGTTATATTTTGTATTTTAGAAAAATCAAAAAAGATTAAAAAATAAATTAAATAAAAAAGTTGCTGCAGGATTTGAAGCACAGCTTTATGCTTTAGAAACTCTGCGAGCTAACCACAGAAAAAACGGAAATAAATGTTATAGATTCAAAATAAAAATGTTGCCGCATTATTATTGTGCAGATGTTGCAGTTTTCAAGTGAAAGTAAAACAGTAAAACATGTTTTAGTATGTTTTAAAATTACATAATTTAAAGTTTACATAAGTTAGATATTTGCATACACTTCGTTCACGTTTACTTATAACAAAAAGTACTGACTCTCGCCATTACCTCCTTTGTAATGGCTGCCAAGGGTTCCGTGTCAAACACGCTCAGAAGGGCACTACTACAACTAAAACTATCAAATTCAACAATAATATATAGAGCTGTTTATAACTCAATTTTTAAGGATCTATTTATTTGATTATTAAATATGATCAAATAAAATTATTTGATTTTTTTGAGCTTTACTGCATCATAACCAACATTTTTATGATGAAACTAAGATCGTCAACAAGCCCGGATTAGATTGCCGACAAGCCCGGATAAAAAAATAAACATTTAAGACATTTTAAAAACAAACTTTTAGTAAATAATAAAACTTAAACTTTAAGAAACATAAAAATATAACGCAAGTATAACAGAGGCGTACGCCACTGCATTGTAACAGACAAACGCCACTGAAGTGTAACAGATGCAAACGCCACTGAAGTATATCAGAGGCGTAACAATGTCAAGCCCACTGAAGTATAAGTTTGATTTTAAATAAACTGATGATACTTTTGAAAATTTTTTTTTTTTTTTAAATAAAACACTTGTCTTTTTTTTTAAGTAAAACACTTGTGGTAAATTGTTTTACATTTGTTGTTATCATTACTGAAACTAATAAAAAAAAAATTAAATATTGCTTTTAAGTTTATAAATTTAGAATCATTTATACAAATTCATTATGAATATTAATAATATTCATAAAATAATATAATCGTATTCACTATAAAATTGTAGAACATTATTTTATATTTTTTTTATAATTGTTAACAATGTTAAAACATTGCAAACTTGTGGAAACCGCAGATTGTTAGTCTTAGAGTTCTTTTTAGGCTATAACTTGAAAATATTAAAAACTGTTTACGTATTTAAAAAATATATTTTAACTTTTTTATATTCTCTCGATCCATAAAATGTCACTTTTTAATTTGATGATGCAAACCGATTAAATACAGTTAAAATTTTATTAGATTTTTTTATCGTG